TAGGAAATCTGTATATTGATAGTTTCAATGAAGTAACTAAAGGGACATTTAGACATTTGAAAGGGAAGTTGTTATTCAAGCTTTGGGTTTCTCCCACCCCTGCCGCACAGCTAGAAATATCTATATAGTCTTGAGTACTTAAATGCAAATACATCAGCATGTAGAGCAAATGTACCTTTGGATGGCTATTAGGTGAGAACATAACCATTTTAACTCAGGGAACAAGGTGAAATAAGCTACTCAACATATACATCACTGATATAATATCACAGCTGTTAAATATTTTGTTCAATTTTAACTGATTTTGTATTGCATTTATAGAATGAGCTGTATAACTGCAAATTTAAATAACAGGAGAAAAGTCTTGCATCATACAAAGTCATAATAACATTTGCATGGTACGACCTACAAACTTCCCACTAATTGATTACTTTGAATGATTAATCTGTGCAGCTCCTAATACTATTTAGTCAAAGGTTGTGATCCTTAAGTTAAAAGCATGGACATAGACCGCTTTCCTTAATTAGAGATATACCCAGTAGGGTCCTCTAGCACAAATATCTGGTTGTGTGTGTTATTTTAATCAGTCCCAGGCAATCAATCCACTGCATTAAAAGCTCTGAAACTGTTCTGTTCCAGCATAGCCTCCGTAAAAATAAACTGGTAAAGTCTGGCATATAGATCAGTGTTTGGACAATTATATTACTCTGAAGAGTAAGAAAACTTCGCAGCAAGATAATCTCAATGCCTTCAAGTTTAACATCAGCTGCCAAACACTCAGCACTCTTGAAAAAATGGGCCACACATTTAGGAGTCTAAACATGGCATTAAGATTACAACTTTAACAACTTGCTCTTCACCTAATATTCACTGGTATGTGTATTATCTAGATGAGCCATTGAAAATGTTAAGCTGTATTAAATTTTACTAAAATTGTCACATTGAAAACTTGAAATTCTCCAAATGGAAGTGATTCTAAGGCAGAAGAACATGACAGCAGCTTAAACTAAATATCTAAAACTAACACCTGTGGTAACATGCAATCTTAAACCTCATTTTGTTTTCATGTGATTTTCTTTCTTTGAAAACTTGAGCACGTTTCAAAAAGGAGTAGAAAAAGAAAAATCTGCAATTGTGAAAGATGCTACTTTACTATACCAATCCCCAGCTATGTGCTATGTTTAAAAACAGAATAAGAATGCTCAGCTTTTAGGACCATGAACATTGCACACTGTTTGTCTGAACAAACAGGAAGGACAAATCAAGGTGAAAACCACCCAGACACACAGTGTATTTCCTTAATTCAGAAGAGATATAGAAATTAAATTCATGTTCATAGAATGCAGTGTTTTTACTAGAATGAAAATAGCTCAACACTGATATGTAGTATTAAATATTTTTAACAAGTTTTAGTAAGATTATTCACAAGATGGTAAAAACTAGGCTTGCAATTAAAACACAGCAGAAACTGTAATTCTCAAAAAGAAAAAAAGGTTAGAAATTTATAATAGTTAATTATTTTCCTTATATATGGAGTGTAAATCAAAAAAGTGGATATACGAAACACTCATCTCCTGTCCTTTGGTTGTCCACAGATACGCCTGTAGCATATTTTTTGGGGAAAAACACTCGCATAAAAGTTTAGAAATATATTTTCAACTTCGTACCCTATAATCAGGGCTTTCTTTTGTACTTTAGGTCAGGGAATAAAAGAGAATATTCCTATTATCTGACTTCCTGAAATGCAATGTAAGTGCCTAAAGTGGAATCCCAGGGGCTGTGTAAGGTCAGTGGTGCCAGGTATGTTCTCTAGAGAATTAGATTATCTAAATAAGGAACCTAGATTCTCTCTAAGGAGAGAGAAATAGGCCCCTCAATTAAATGCTTAAGTTGTATGGTGCCAATACTTGACAAGATTTCTAACTGTTCCTTTAATGATTCAAGTGCAAGGCAACAACCCTTACCTATATAAAGTACCTACCATGGTGGAAGCAGTATGGCTGAACTTAGACAAAATAACTTCTACCAGTTTTATGTCTATGAAAGAACTGTATTTGATGCTGTTTGTATTATCTTAAAATCCTGAGACAGGCAGAAAAGCTTCTAACAATGACACTAAGAAAAACTTAGCTATATGATTAATTTGCTCAGATTTAAATCAGAGTTCCCATGATGTTCATTTTTATTTAAAATCAAAAAATAACTGAACTTTTAAAAAATCTTAAGAGACGTCCTTCATAGCTTCTGTAAGGAAAAGCAGCTTTGCTGTAGTTAACGTGGCCATCGTGAATTCAACTTCATGTGGGATATTTCAGTTTTAACTAAGAAGTACAGAAATCAGCTTTCACTCCTACAAGCAATACTGCTAATTTTACTCATTTATCAGTAATGACATTCACTGTCACTTGTATATTATTTTAATGTCAAGAAATGGTTTTTTCCATCAGCGCTGATGCTAGTTCTACTCTGGAGCCCACCCAGCAATGCAAACACCAAAGAATAAAGAAGTTTGATGGAAGGGCAAAGCTTCAAATTTGCATACGATTCCCCTGTGGTTTATCTTGTTTGCATGAGGTACATGTTTTTTCAGAAAATGGATGAGCAGCTGACATGCTGAATGCTATCTGGACTTTGCAAATATATATAGCATTTTAAAAAAAATGTAGCTGAACATTAAATATCTGCACAAAGTCTCTGAGAGCACTGGCTTTTCCAAGCTGTTTTTAAATTCCTAATTTAGAGCTAGCTAAAGTTTGGAAGAGAGGTGCTTTGTCCCCTCCCCTACAATATCATTACTGCAGTTAGCCCAAAGAAAAAGGTATTTGCAAAACTGTGAATGATGCAGTATATATCCAACATGCATGCTAACATGAGTTTGCCCTGTGGAAGGTTGGAAGAGATAGGTAACTTCTACACACAGGAATGCTTTTGTGCTACACTTTCCAAACAGCACGAAGTTTAATTAAAACTATTTTAGAATTTTCTGGAATTGCTACTGTATCTTTAAGAATACTCAATCTAAATACCACAGCCTTTTATGGAAGGAGACAAGCACAGTACACATCAGCAAGATGCGTGTTTGACAGCACTGCAATTGCCAACAAGTCCTGATGAAAAGAATCACAAGCTCCAAGCTCTATTTAACTTTTTCATTATGACTTGCAAAATGTAACAGTCATCACAAGGAATTAATCATATAACAATAGTGTACTAACTGAAAAATAAGAACACGATTTCAGTGTAGCAAAGTAATTTGTGGAAACATATAGTGTTTCCACAATAGCAGTAGATAACATTGCAACCCTTCAGAGAGGTTTATTTTTACTGTGTTCTGCAACTATGACTTTATACATGTCAGGGAGATTTAAGCATAGACAGATGAACAGCATAAATATAACCAAACAGGCTTATTTAATTGGTGAGTCTGGTGCTCATAGGTGTGACCAACAAATAAGAATGCCCAACTTCTCACTTTGACATTATCCCTTAAAAAAATCTCCCAACCCTTACACAGAAACATTAAGGTATTATAAAGTTAAATTGCAAGGATTTCTTTCCTAGCTTATTACACGGAAATTATTTGGATGATAGCCTAAATACATAAGACGGTTGTTTAGACATAAAATGAGCTCATCTGTGTTCAACAACTGCTGTAGAAGCTTCTGAAAGTTCAAAGTATTGGTCGTATGGATTGGTAAAGCATATTGGATGAGCAAATACATTTACAGCCTGTGCTTAGCTGCATATGAATTCCAGTGTACATGTCACAGCAGTTTCATTGTATAATGGTATTAATATTTTTAAATCTGTTCCTTAGGTTAACATGTTAGGAACTGATTTCAGTATTTACTTTCTATTACTTTTGCTGCCCTGCACTGCAGAGCATTACCTATCTGTAATCTGTTTCCTTAACAGAACACAATTCCTGAAAAATACCGCATTTTTCCTCACTATCTTTCTACCCACACGAAAGATTATTCAACTATGATATTCCAGCTAGCAAGGCTACAGGCTATGGAACCTGTCTTGGCAGTATGCACACTAAGTTTTCAGGTCCAAATGTATACACTTGAGCATAACTACGCCACATCCAAAAGTCATGTAAGCTTCTAAGTATCAGAGTGCACCTGAATAGAGTCAGGACATGGCCTCCTGTGCTAAATTCACCAGAAAAATGGTACAAAACCCCAGAACTCTAGTGGGAAATCTGGTCCCAAGGAGCACCCTTTTGCCACTACTTCAGCTACATAAGCATTAGATTGCCATTTATGCAAATACAACTCAAATGTGGTCACAATTGTGACAAATGAAAGGTCTCCACTATCAAGATGACTAAATTAATATAGATAAGAATGGGAAAAATAACATTTTAGCAAGAGATTACTGAGGCTGGAGTTAAATGACTTACTTAAAGTCACGTAAGATGTCACTGGCAAAATTCAGGAGGTGAATCCAAATCATTAGTTCCAAGACACACATTAAACACTTGTAAATCACCTGACTTCCAGACAAAACAAAACATAAAGGTGCTACAAAGTGGAGGAAGGAGATCTCGCTGACACACAAACATCAGCATAGAATACCAGTAAAAGATGAACATGACAAAGGCTTGGGAACCATCTACAAAAGTAAGAAAAATCTAAATAGAAGAGTGAACAAACAAAAAAATACCCTGAGGTTTAAAGGGATTTATAAGAATATAAACACTACCATAGAGAGAAAATACCTGCGGGATTAAACATACTACATTTTATTACTTCATCAATGCCTACAGCTTGTACATTTCTTGACTATCAATATTCCTGTTCAACTGTGAGAATCATATGTTGCTGAATACACTCAACATGTGGGGATAAACTGCAATTTAAAACTAAAGTAATACAGAAACACAATTTTCAAACCAAGTAGCAGGGCTGCAACCACTGTTTGATTCTCATTTAAAATGAATGAGGCAAAAATGCTATGCAAGACTATGAACACAGCAGGTATACCATCCTTACCTGCAAAGGAAGGAGAGTATTACTGTTGGTGTCAGTTCGGAAAACATTATCTTCAATCCACGATTTTGGTGTCAGTGATGGAGTAGAGCGAGTAAATTTAGGAGGAGCTATGACATTACCAGAAAAGGGCTTCTTCAAAGGAGAGATCTGGTTCATAGTTCCTGGAATTCCCATGGTTCCAGTTCTACGATGGTCTCTGCCATGCATTCCTCCCCAGGATATATTTCCTGTGCTCCAGCCACTGCTCTGATTGCTCCATGGTGACTGCTTCAGAAGAGGCTAAAAAAGAAAGATTAACTTTCATTATTTTGAAAAAACTTGAAATGCTTTTCTACTTAACAAAACCCAAACCCCAAAACAACCAACCACCAAGTAAGCAATATGCAAAGATTTCTATAAACCACTCTCTTCTGATAACATGTCAATTAGTTACTGAGGCAAGGAAGTAAACACAGCTTGATTAAAAAAAAAAAAAAAAAAGTCATTCCTACTCCCCCATATGTCTCCCCAATAAATGCTGCAGTACTTGTGCAGGCAATTTTGATTATAGTTTTCATAACTGGTAGCATTTTTAAAGCTATGCAGGGTGGAAAATCAAGCTCCAGAAAAACCTGAAACCAGTTTTTTTTCATACATTACTTGCTATTGTATGATGAGATCTCTGCAAAAGTAACAGAATAATTTCAAAGAGATCAATTAAAAATTATTATTTAAATAGTGTTTATAGTTCTACTAATGATTATTTTTGCTCAGTGAGTAGTAGTACTCACTACAGTGAGTAGAAATTCAAAAATTAAAATTCAAACGGCAGATTTAATTCCCCCCAATCCAGTATTTTGAGTATCATTGTCTCAGTATTACCATATAAGAGCAAAAAGAGCACTGACTACTGTACAGGGAATCTGTTTGAAGGAGCTATCTTAACATTTCCACATTAAAATGCATTATTCTGAAGCCACTGCTCAAATATTTCTAGAGTAATGAATGGAGTAATGAATGGAGTAATGAATCTGTGGGATTTTGCAGGGTGTGCTCTAGAATTTTTATTACTTTTTTTTTTCCTATCCAGAAACGGTGTACCTTACACCTACCTAAATACACTTGTAAGTGCATTACATTCTCTAATATGTAAATGGAAGCAGTTTTTAGAAAGAAGATTTTTAAGGGATTAAGGTTTTATACCTAAACTACAACTTCTGCTAAAAAGTGACCTATAGTAGTTGTCATATTACCAAGAGGTGGACCCACTGAGCATGACTGACAGTGAAGAACTGTATTTATCTTTAGTAGTCTCAAATCTGACTGTTCTTGGAAACGCTTTTCCTCAAACATAGAAATGGAGTGGGGGTGTGTGTGATGATTCTAAATTCAGGTCTGTGAAGTGAAAACACAGTACTTTTATCTTTAAGCTTAGCTGCAAGCAACCCTCAACCTGCAATTCTAATAGCTTAAAAAATTAAAGCATGTCAATACATTATGTATCAGGTAAAAGAGAACTTTCTGAAGACAGATAAAATTGTAACAACACCCTCACCCCCCTCACCCCCAGACAACAAACCAAAAAAGCCACTAAAGCCATTCTTGGTCAAGTAATCAGGAAAACATCCTATTCCATATAATTAGAGATAATTACGTTGTAAAACTTGAATACCTGCGTTGGAATTTTGGGAGAGGCGGGCACTCTATTGTTAAACAAACCTTAAGAGATAATGCCAAACGTTAACAAGCCTCTAATATTGCTAGCTATGCTGTCATGGCACTGTTTAAGTATACCTACAACTTGTGCGAAAATTCCTGTACACCTCACCGTTGGAGAATTGCTTGGAATTTGTTTGAAGAAGGTTATTATAAATGTTAAGGACAACTAGCTCCTAATCATAATGCATCATAATCAATTCTTCAACAGGCACACAATGTGAGATTCTAGTTCTGATACCAAGGAATCTCTACCGATTGAATCTGAGCAGATTTAATACCAGAATGAAAAAAAAAATAAAAAAATAAGATGGGGCCTATGTAATTTCAGCCTCTCATAAGTAAGCAAATTATTGGAAAAAAATGGGCTAATAAAGCAACAGCTGGTAATACCACCACGGATTTGCTTCTCAGTGACTTCTTGTAATATTCTGTTCCAGCAAGAAACGTAAACTTCCATTTTAATACGACATCATTAAACCCCTCGATTAAAATCAGATTAAAATCGGTCACAAAACTACCGTAACTTGAAACACTGCGCTGTCTTCGAATACACGTTCAAGCAATGCCAATCAAAAGCCCTGAAAAGGCAGTACGGTGTCAACTTTCGCATCCGACCCTCCTGTCGGCGACCTGTGCCCGTCCGACCGAGCTTGCCCGAGGGACGCCAGGGTTTTACTCGGGACGAGAGGG